GATTTGAATTCATTTCTAGTAGTATTTATGGCCACATTTGGAGAAAAATATCAAAGAAAAGTAGTAGAAATCAAGCTCTTATCTTTACAATAAGGATCACAATCAAATACCATATATATTTCTGAATTCTAAAACCTTGCTCGCGACATGGATTGGAATGAAAAAGCTCTTATCAATAAATTTTGATATGGATTGAAGGATAATGTCAAAGACTTATTATTAACAATGTCAAAGACAAAATCTTTGGAATAATTTATTGCTCAAGCCATTGTATGCAAAAATCAATTATTTGAAAGACATAAAGAATAAAGATTTGGTTGGAGTGGAACAAATCAAATAATGATGGGAGCTCCTAAGTTTTTAGAAACTATTCATCAAGGCAAGAATCAATGTAAATTGATACAATACATTTTAAATTCCGTCCAAAGTAAAAAAAGAGTCAACAATATCAAGAGAACTTATGCTTATATTGTGGAGAAGATAGGCTTAGTATTCAATATTGTTCAAAGAAGCAACGTAATTATAAAATGAGAAGTACAATTACCAAATGAGACAAAATGTTGGAAAATATGTGGCTAGAATCATGTACAATATCTAATAAAGGTCTTATTTTTTTTTTTCAGATCCCTCACCTTATTTTATAATAGAAGTCTATTTACGACCAAAAAATCACAAAGTCTTAGCCTTGTTGGATTTAAGAGCCTCAACCTCTTTTATAGATGAAGATTTTGTCAAAAAAAAAGATATAATTTTAGTTAAGAAAATCAAATCTATGTATGTAGAAGTAATAGATGGACGTTCATTATCTTATGGGAATGTTATACATGAAACTATTCTTGTAGAAGTAACAACTACTGGTCACAATAATTTATTAATATTTTATATGATTAAATCTCCTTTTAATCCAATTATTTTAGGATTATTGTGGTTAGAAAGATATAACCTTCAAATAGATAAAATTTCTTGTAATCTTGATTTTTTTTCATAGTTTAGCCCAAGATCTTGCTAGATAAGTAAAAATCCATAAATCTAATATATTCAAACCATTATTGATAGGTGTAAGTACTTTTATGCATGCTACAAATGAAGGGCCATCTTTTGCTATATATGCCACATTTATTGTTGATGGTGAGAAGATATCAAGTAATATTCATAGCTAATAACAAGATTTTTATGACATTTTAGAAAAAAAAAATACAAATATCCTTCCAAAGTATCGGTCTTTACAATTGTTCCATCAATCTTCAAGAATAAATTCAAGTGCTATTTGGACCAATCTATAGCCTATCTCAAAATGAGTTGGCTATAGTCAAAGAGTTCATTTAGGAAAACTTGGCTAAAAATTTTATATGCCATTCTAAATCTTGAGCCAGTGCTCCTATCTTATTTGTGAAGAAAAAAGATGGATCTTTGCAAATGTGTTTAGATTATAGAGGACTTAATAAGATCACCATAAAGAATAAGTATCTTCTACTTTTGATTTCAAGACTTTTAGATCAACTAAATCAAGCAAAGAAATATACAAAAATAGATCTATAAGAAGCATATAACTTGGTCCACATCAAAAAAAGAGATGAATGAAAGATTGCTTTTCAAACTAGGTATGGATATTTTAAATATAATATCATGCCTTTTGGACTCACAAATGTACCAATTGCTTTCCAACATATAATGAATGATGACTTTTATGAGTTTTTTGATGATTTTATTGTTTATTATTTGGATGATATTTTAATCTATTCTAAGAATATAGAAGAGTATGAAGTTCATGTTCATCATGTGTTACAAAAACTAAGAGATGCAAGATTATACTTTAAGATAAAAAAAGTGTGTATTCCACACTACTCAAGTTGATTTTTTGAGATATATCATTTCTAATGAAGGCCTTATGATGGATCCAAAGAAGGTCCAAACTATTATAGATTGAAAAATCTCAAAAACAGTAAGAGATGTGAAATGCTCATTGAACCTTGGTAAATTTTTACCAAATCTTTATCAAGAACTTCTTACAATTGTGGATTCATTTTTCTCAAGTTGTAGCTCCATTTACATGTTTGACTTATAAAGACAAACTTAAGTGGAATAAAGAAGCTGAAGCATTGTTTGTTGCTTTGAAGAAGGAATTTACTTCTATACCAACTTTATATTGTATCGACTTTTTTAAAGCGTTCTTTTTGAAAATAAATGCATCAAATATTTTTCTTTGGATGGAATATTATCATAAATGGAAACAAATGAAAAACTCCATCTAGTAGCTTTCAATTCCAAGAAATTTTTAGCAACCGAGATTAACTATGAGATCCACAACAAAGAACTTCTTATAATTATGGATTCATTTCAAGAATGGCGTCATTATCTAGAAGGCGCTTTAAATCCAGTCACAGTATATACAAATCACAAGAATCTTGATTATTTCATGTCAACACATGTTTTGAATTGTCACTAAGTTTGTTGGAGCATATTATTATCAAGATTTGATTTCAAGATCACATATTGACCTAAAAAATAATAAGATTTATCAGATGTTTTTTCTAAATGCTCTTATTTTGCACTAAAAGAAAGAGACTTATTTTTTAATCAATAAAGAAAAATTCTCTTGAAGCTAGAGCATTTTCATCTTTGAGTAATAAAATCAATATTCACTATTGATTTGATCTTTGTCAAAAAAATTCAATCATGTATGTCCTCTGATTTTTTTAGTTATGATATCAAGAATCTTTCTTTTAAGTCTCATGATATTTCAAAGTTCGAGTTTAAACACAACCTACTCCACTTCAAAGGATGCTTATATGTTCCAAAAAGAGAAGCACGTTTACGTGTTTTTCAAATACGTCATGACTTTCCAGCAGCAAGATATTTTGGATACAACAAGACTTTAGAGCTTATATTTAGAGATTTTTTGTGGCTGCAAATGTGGAAGGTGGTAAAAGTCTTTGTTTAGTTATGTGACGTTTGTCTAAGATTAAAAATTCCTTATCATTGATCATATGGACTTTTCCAACCATTGCCTATACTCAAACAACCATGGTCTTTCATTTCTATGGATTTTATTACAAATCTTTCAAGTTCAAGTTCATATGACTCTATATTTATAATTGTAGGTTGCTTCACCAAAATGGCACATTTTGTATTATGCATAAAATCTATCACAAGTGAAGAAACAACTAAGCTTTTCATTGACAATATATATCACTATCATGGATTACCAAAGGATATTATATTGGATAGGAGGAGTCAATTTGTATTAAGATTTTAGAGAATCCTATTCAAGATTTTAAAGGTGGATATAAAGCTCTCTTTGGCTTTTTATCCTCAAAGTGATGGGCAAACAGAATAGGTGAATAAAGTTCTAAAGTAATATTTGAGTTATACCATCAACTATCATGAAGATGATTGAACAACTCTTTTATTATTGACAGAGTTTTCATATAATAATTTGGTACATTTTTCTACTCAATAAAAACTTTTTTTTGCCAATTATGGTTATCATCCATGACTTGATATTTTTGACTTTTCAAAAGTTGATAATCCTATGGCGGAAGATTTAGCAAATTATTTGTTATAGCTACATGCAACAATGAAGACATAATTAAAAGAAGCTCAAGAACAACAAAAGATCAACGCGGATGCCTATTGCAAGGAACAAACACAATTCAATGTGGGTGACAAGGTATGGTTACTTTGCCATAATATCAACACTACTTGTCTTTATAATAAGTTAGACTATTGTAGGTTGGAACCTTTTCTAATTTGTAAATAAATCAATCATGTTGCTTATTGATTACATCTATCAAAGTCTATAATAATTCACCTTGTATTTCACATGTCTCTTCTTCAGCCATATAAGACAGTGAATATTTTGGGAAGAAGACAAATGCCACCTCCATCTATGAAAGTAGACAATGATCAAAAGTTTGAGGTAGAAGAAATCTTAGATTTAAAGCAACTCCAAAACAGATTACAATATCTTATTGATTGGCTCAAATATGATATTAGTGAACACACATGAGAGCCAATAAAGAAACTTGCAAATACAAGAAAGAAAATTGAGGCCTTTCATCGACGACATCTATCAAAACCAAGATGAAAAATTGTAAGATCTATGAAAGATGATTGCTTCTCGTAGAACTCATTTTTAGAAGAGAGAATAATATCACGGACATATATATTTATATCAATAGTTATTTATATGATTAAGTAGAAGTAGATAAATATAAATTAATTTCATAAAGTCTTTTGAAAAAGCTTCTTAAAAGCTTTATAAATGGTGTTTTGACTTTAGATGTGTTTGTAGATTAGAAACTTAGCCAACAAGTTAAAGACATGTTGGTAGCTTATGAAACAAGTTAAGTCAGTGTAGTAGCTTATGGAACAAACTAACTATGTGGCACTTACATAGATAACTTACCTTGTAAGTTAAAACATGTGGCTAGTAAACTCAACACAAGTTGGAGGTCCTGTAGAATATCGCCACATAGCTCCTATTTAGAAAGTATATATGGAGGCAAGAGTGAAGCCTTCTTCACTCTTGTCAAAGCCTTTTTAGTCTTTAGTCTTGTTCTAAGACTTTTTGATCTTCTTGTTTTTGACAATAGCCATTTTAGTTCAATATTATCTTTGAGTGACTTCCTAGTTCCTTTCAATGATATAAGAGTGTATTAAGAATTTTCTGTCCTCAAGATTTATGTCCTTGACAGATGCTCAATCTATCATGGATATTGGGAATGACTACTACGCGATGGTATATGCCTACTGCAAGGAGATGACTAGCAACGATGCCAATGGATATTAGGAATGAGTACTAAGGGATAGTATATGCCTACTAGAAGGAGATGACTAACATGGATGCCGATGATAAGTGCTTTGCAGATGATAAGTGCTTCTATTCACAAATATAATTTCACTTCTGATTCAGATGGGCTCATTACAATAGCCGGTTTCCACAACTTCAATTTTTTTGTGGCACGCTAGCTTGTATAATACAAGTATTGTAGAACCCAACTTCTCTATGATTGTGGGAGGAGGACGAATATGAACAGTCCTTCACAAACTTCTTGCTTGATAGTGTTTTGCACTTTGAACAATTCGACAAAGTCTGTCAAATTTGAAGAGGCCTGGTGATGATGGAAGACCACTCAAGCAGTTGTTTGGGGACAACGGTCAAAATGTCTCTCCGACCCCTTGAGTGCTTGAGATGTAGACGTTCGGTTCGGATGATGTGCTGAGGTCGGCGCTTTTCTGGTTGGAGCTTGGGTGGGGGGAGCCTAGGCTGGCCCAGATTACGCGGTTAGGAAAATTAGATTCGGTAAGGACGGTGCGTGATGTGATGCTGATCTAGACCACTGGCTGGATTTTGTTCGCCTTTGGGTTTGCTTGCCCTGTTTGGCCTTGATTCCATGCCATTAGAGGTTGTACGTTTGGAATGTGAGAGAGCACTTATTGTCGGAGTGGAGGAGTACAACGCGTGTGCGTGCTTGGGTTCGGGTTGAGACGGCCTGGGTCTCTCTCTGAAAGGCTCAGTACAGCTGACAGCGTGGAGATTTTGTTTCTCCTAAGTTCGATCCAACCTAGACCGGGCTTCTGAAGCAGTGGTTGGGCTTTTGCTTATTTGACGAAGTTGGGAGATCTTAAGATTGGGGTACTTGTACAGATGAATAGCGCTCGTGTGTAGTGAATCTGTGAATGTTTCCTAAAGTTTGCTTTTTCTCTCTAATGCTTGAATGGGAGATAGTATAGAGCTGACTTAATTCACCAAGGTTTCCGTTAGAGTATAACCCTAAACTTAGAGGAACCGTGCGTCGCGATTACAATCTGCTGCCACTGTGGTTAGTGCGACATATTGAGATTAGGGTACTGGGGAAAAGGTTTCGGCCCAAGCTGCTTAGGATATTTTTACTGAAGTTTCTAAATCTGCTCGGATCGGGTGGTGTTCCTGCCGGCGGGTGTCACAAGCCCCTCGGGAGGATCTTGCGAGGAAGCGAACTTTACGCAGGACTGAGAGTCGATGGCCTATGACTGTGGGAGTGGCTGTGGAAATGTAGACTTGTAATGGGTCTTCAGAGTTGGAATTCTGAGGAGAAGAGGCATCGTGGAGGAAAGGAACAGCGAGAAAGAACTTAGGCGGTTTTTCACTTTTGAGGAAGAATAAATATACCTTAGCAGGAAGGGTTTGTTCGTTTCACCACGGGTTAGGTTACATCTGCACTCTGATTAAGCAAGTTTTAGCTTCACCATCGTCACACAGTACACACTTGCGTATGTACCCGCATCTCAGGTTTGGCAAGCCGCTTTTCTAGTTTGCCTCTTTGCATTTCACCTGTTTGGTGGTTCATTGGAGGTGCTACCCATCGTATCAGGGTATTGAATATTTGGGATCAGCTGGGATGTGATTTTCTGAATTCTGCTCTAGCCAAAAGCATATGCTGTCCAACCTTGAACCTGTGCACTTCTCGTGCATTTGGCTTTCCTGGAATTCCTTCGGGTTGAAGATTGCGCATGAAGCCCTTGTCACGATCCATCCGCACTTTCACGAGTTTGTTCAATGGAATAGAGAATTCTCTGTGCACGCAGGTTTTGCAAGAATTCTTGACTTGGGGGTCGCTTACTGTCACTGCGGCAAGTTACCAGGACTTCTGGATTACATTGCCACGCAATCCTCATCTATAGATCTTTGCTACACTGCCCTACTTTCTTTGAAGGACCTTTGTACGAGGCTTTTTCAACGGATTACGGTATCATTCACGGAGGTGTTCGTTTCTTTAAAGGCGTCAACTTGTAACTATCACATCCCACTTAGTACATTTCCTGTGATGCAATAAGACGAGCAGTCATCGGAGCCATGCAGATATCACAGAAGCACAGTTACATGTCTCCAGAGGACCAATCATTGAAAACACTTTCGGCAGATTTTCTCGCTCTACTTGACAAGGGCCAAGCCTTTAGCGATGTCACATTTAAAGTGGAGGACCGGCATGTTTTTGCTCACAGATGCGTGCTTGCGGCGCGAAGCCCCTTCTTTCGTATGGTTTTCTGCGATGACCAGCAGCTGAACAGTGCCCAACCCAGGCCCGGCATACCTAATGTTATTTCGGTGGGGGTTGTAGGCTACGATGTCTTCATGTTGCTGTTGCAATTTCTGTATAGCGGAAACTACAGCAATTTCTTTTCTCCTCAAAACTGCGGCCGCCAGTGCAAGGATAAATCTTGTTGGCACACCCATTGTAGCTCAGCCGTAGAGTTTGGGCTGGATACTATGAAGGCTGCGCTCTTCTTTGGTTTGGATCAGCTTTCTACCCTCACCCAGGTTGCCACTGTCTACTTTTCCGTGCTTCTGCACTTAGGGATCGCATCTGTCTTGGTGGAAATTTAGGACTCGTCTTTTGTTGCGAATTGAATAGCTTGATCACGTGAAGTGGTTTTTCTTTTTGCACTTTCATCTTAATTCGTCATGTTGTATTCCTCATGTTGTGCTTCTACATTGACTTATCACAGAAACATTTAGCCGCCATGGCAGAGAAGGCGTCCGTCGAGGACGTGATGCGCATTCTAACAACTGCACACACGCAAGAAAATAAGCATCTTTGGAATGTTTGCTCAAAGTTGGTTGCGAAGTCTGGTCCATTTTCAGAAATATTGCAGAAACATCTGCCTGCGAATATTGTATGCGAGCTTGAGGATATTAGGCGAAAGTCCGGATTCGGGTTTGAGGCTGCCATGTCCAGCAATACAACATCCGAGCAGAAGACGAAGCGCATGCAGAAAGCCTTAGACTCGTCTGACGTGGAGTTGGTTCAGTTGATGATCAATGGAGAGGGTTTGAACCTGGATAAAGCATTTGCCCTGCATTACGCTGTTAGCAAATGCAGCAGGTATGCATCTGTTTCTCAACTTTCATTTCTTATAACTCTTGTTGCATTCTCACTTCTTGCGAAAGTTCAGCTTTTTTGGTCACCTGTAGGAATGCGAGTGGATCACCTCAAATTCTTTTTTAAAGCTTTACTAATTTTTGTTCTATGTCTGTGATTACAGAAAAGTGGTCAAAACCCTTCTAGATCTGGGAAAAGCAAATGTAAACCTACGAGGTCCAGATGGTCTGACGCCCTTGCACATAGCCGCGAAGTTAGGTGATCCAGAGAAGATTGTTATGTTGTTGAACCATGAAGCTGATCCCCACGTACAGTCAGCTTCAGGTGCAACTGCAATGGGCATAGTTCAATTTGGAATGACTGAAATTGTATCCGCTGGGGGGTATAATTCTAAAGGCGACCAGAACAGGCTTAGATTATGCATGGAGCTTTTGGAAAGAGCTATTTTAGCACCAACTTCTTCGTTGCACGCGAGGTACAATAAAGTCGAGAGCGGGAGCCCGGCCTCGATCCTTACTGGACATGGGAGTAGCACGTTTCTGCCGGAGGAAAGTGATACTGATTTTCGTTGGTCAATGAGGAGAACGATGAGCGGCTCAAATCAGGGGGTGTATGTAGGCAATAACGATATTTCTTCCTCTTTCTCACATGGACTTACAGATAAAGGTACGACTTGTCGGCTTCCTTAATCTCCGATCAGATTGTACACAATCAATTCTCAGGACAGTCTGACAGTGCTAGTCGAGATGGAAGCTGAAGTTCTTCTCGAGCCTCCGGTTAGTGGAGTAGAATGCTTTTCTTGCTTTTCTCGTCTTCCTTCAAGGAGAGGTGTTGTCAACGAAATTAAGGTCTGAGTGTATTGGTGCAGCAATCAAGTCTTAATCATTTGGAGTGAACCATAGTGGTTTCATTTCTTACAGTACCACAGCCCGGATGGACTTTTCGAAATACCTATGCGCACCGGTGTCTTTGCAGCTAAGAGTCTTTTCCCAAGGGTAATGCTTTAGGAAGTTGGCACAAGTCTTATGTGAGTGGGCGTGTAGAAATGTTCTGTGTTGTGAGAGATGTTTCTTGGAAAAGTATGGGTAAAACCCTTGTCTCTGTCTCACTTCACGTATTTTGGACAGTGTATGGCAAAGAGCCAGAAAGGCCGGAGACAAGTGACTCAATTTCAAGGTTACTCTACCCCAGTTCCGTAGCGATTGATCTTTCAGAGTCACAGCTGCAAGCAGAGTCCCGGAGTCTCACTGGTAGCTACAGCGTATTGGATACATCAATTTTGGAGGAAAGGCCGCGCAAAATGCAGCGATCATTTGCCGACCTGAAGAACCTTCCCGTTTTAAGAGAGGCTGTGCTCAAGGACTTCTCAAACGAAGCTATGGAGAGCTTCAAGACCGTGTGCAACCCCAATCACGTTGATGAGGAAGTCAGCTCAGGATGGCAGCTTTTCCTGCAGGAGCGCTCAGAAGCTCATTATGCTCGTGGAGATACATCTGTAAAAATATGTCCCAAGAAACCGGATCGTCAATGATCTTCCTTTTCAATGGAAAATGAGAGTGAGGCAAGCTATGAAGTCGAGAGATGCGCCACAGCAGCTTGGATCTCGAGCCTCCGCCAGGGAGGTAAAACGCTCAGGATCATCAGGCATTTGGGAAGGAATCCTGTATCAGTGAAGTCATGATGCCTGTGTACCTTTAAGAGCAGGTCATTACCAGCCCGTGAATCACAACTGTGATCAACAATTGGTTGAGAACGTCTCCTCCAGCTCCTGAACAGTTCGGAATGCGGAGGCTCAGGGAAGTATCAGCACGTCATGAAACTGGGGTGGAGGATCATTGTTGTAGACATGAGCTTTAGAGTATAAAACTGGTGTGTACCTCATTCACTTACCGTACCTCTTTGGTACGTGAAATACATAGGTTCTAGCGCTGTGCAGGTATCATGGTTAAGCAACAGATTCCCAGCAGGGCGAGCGTGTATGGTCTCCAAGTAGATGATGAAAAGGTTGCAAGTCAACCAAGAGCGGCAGTTTGTAATTTTAACACCCAATCTTTTGAAGATTTTTTTTCCATCTCCTTCGATGGAGTAAACCAGGAGAAATCAACGACACGTCGATGAGGGCCCAGGGTTAATGAGCTCTATGCATCTCGACCCTGGAGGTATGTGAAGATTGTGCTACGTACACACAATGCTAGGTGTAGGATCTTTAGTGGTTGCAAACCACTCCTTTTTTTTCTTTTTTGTAAAACAAATGCTCGAGTTCGTAGTGCGATTTCTATTTACAGCCATATGAGCTATCAACTTGCTCAGCTTAGGAGATAGTGCTGGTGGGTAGATTTCCATGTGCCTGATCCATGCGCATAATCATGCAAGTTCGTAAACCTTTGTTGAATCCAAGTGAGACAACGCCCGGGGTACTTGTCTTTCTTATTCAACTTTTTTTTTTTTTTTTTTTTTTTTTTTTTAAATCAGGCAGATGGCTTTGTCATACACATCATTGTCATGGGTTTGAGATGTTTACCAATGTTTCCTTCGATTTTTGACCATGTCTGTAGGTATCCAGCTCATGTCAGTATTGTATGTTGTTGGCTTTTTTTTGTGGCCACTACTTCAACAAACGCTAAGAAGCAAGAAATATTCTGCAACAAATGGTCCAACTTATCTCTTTGTCTTTATTTTCTTCCCTCCCATTTCTTTATCTTGTTCAGGGTCCTTTTTTACAACTTAAAGTCAAAATGGGTGATTTACAGCTCTTTATCAGTCGTATTTTGAACTTCTTGTTTTTACTTTGAATTTGTTTATCTTATAGTTCTAAACTGATATGGTTTCTATTACAATACTTTCTTCAATAATTAATCCTCCAAGAACTAATAACCTCCAATAATTAATCAAAATCTTAAGAATCAACTCTATTTTTTATTGCATAATTAATAACCTCTCATTTCTAATAATTAATTGATTTTCATTTACTTTTGTTGATTAACAAGAGGAAGTATTTCTACATAATTTAGCAAGGCAAGGCTATAAAGGTTGGCTAGGTAATATGGTCAAAGCCGGTGGTTTAGTTTGACAGATCTTGGCAAGATTTGTTTCTTTCAACACATGTCCTTATACATGGGAAAACATTTAGATGAAGCTTGAAAGCATAACATTAAGATTGGTTAAAATTTCTCTAAGAATCTGATTCTTGGTGTGGTATTGATGCTATTGAATCAAAGTCTTAAAAATCATGATGTTCTCATCATCTTCTACAAGACCCAATCAACCAATTCCATGTTCTATGTTGATCAGAAGGTGCCTTCTTTGTAAAGAACCCATACAACACCTCCACTTATTCCTGCAACAAAGTTCTTCCAAGTCTTATCAAAGACCATGATAATACTACCAATCATGTATTCACATTTGTGATCTCCAATTCCTTCTACAACAAGCTTTGTTCTAGAGATGCGCACATCAAACCTTTCTATTACCATGCCATTGAAGTATGTTGAAAAACTATCTATCTCTCTCTCTCTCTCTATATATATATATATATATATATATATTAAAACACATATATAACAAATTTTTATTTAAATAGAGAATTTAAGAAATTCTAATTTTTTTTGGCATATCTACTTTAATTTGTAATCAAAAAAAAAAAATGATAGTAATTTAACAATGACAAAGAATAATAATAATAGCTTAAAGGTAGTCAAATTAAGGATGTATTATTTTAAAATATAAAGTGCACAATACTTTTTGGCACCATTCTTACATCTTTTATTTCTAAAATTAAAAAATAAAATTTCCAAGCAAAATTTTACCTCTTCTTGTTGCCTCAAATTTAAAGGATATGAGATGGGACTTGATTTTAGCAAAGGATGTTCAAAAAATTTGTATTTATTCATAAAATGAATTCAAAAATTCTTAAAGAAGAGTGCAATCAAAACAAGAGAATATAATATCAAGAGATTGTAGAGTTGTAAAAATAAAGATGATTAGAAGCATCCCATATGTGCACTGTTGTAATGAGACTCATCCTTTGCATGTATGAAACAATGAAGATGCTTATTTAGAGAAGGGTGTTTATTCTTACAAAGACAAGGGTGCTTATTTAAAAAAATACTTGAAAAATCTTAGTCATCTTAGAAGCTATACAAACACAATACAAGAAAAATTGCCATTCATAGTATTCACTTTCAAAAACATTTAAATGCATGGAAATTAAATTTCAATATTGGTGCTTTGTTGTTCAATTTCCTCAAACATTCAACTTCTTTAGTTGTGCATTTTCATTTGATTAGTATGAGACAATTGTAGATATATTTTACTAACAACATACCAATGTAGGTGATTAGTTTCTTTTTTATATGCCATTCATATTGAAATTGAATAATTTGATTTGTAAAAAAATTATTCATATGTTTATAATATCTATTAGATTGATTTAATTAATATAATATTTTTTTTATTAATGATACATGTTTTCTAAATTATAAAAATAAATAGTCAATATTTTACAAAAAATTAAATATACTAGTTTATGAAATATATTCAAAAATAAAATATATAATATTTTAATTTTTTATTAATTTTTTTAATATAAAATATATAAATTTTGTGTTAGAATAAATTAATAATGAAATAATATAATAGTGGTTGGATTTTAGTACACTCATTGTTTTAAATTATAATTTGTGGTTTTATTAAAATTTTGCTACTATCGCATTAATGTATGTTGATGCGACTTTCTAATACAAATTCTATCAAAAAACTAATATTCTATTTGAAGATAACTTAGAGTTGGATGTTTTTTTGCTTAAAAAGATTTTTATGGAGAATTATTTTTAAATGATATTAAAAATTGTGTTGTTCTTTCAGCACAATATTTGCTCATCTTTACAAAATATATTGAGATGTTGCTTCCAAGCTCTTATTAAGATCTTTGCAAGTTTTAAGAAACTATAAATGAGTTGAAGAAGTTATTTGGTACATTTGCATATCTCAATCTACTTAGGGTATACAAATGAAAGTATACAACAATAGCAAGTCAATTAGAAAGTAGTTGATTGTCACATACTTGCTTTAATAGTGTAATTTTTATTTACATGTATTTTATTACAAAGATCAAATAGTGATTTAAATTACAAAGGTTGTGTAGGTGAGTGTTGCCAATTTTTCCAATATATGTTGTATGCCAATCTATTAAATTAAGAATACTTGACCTAGTTGTGATGTTGATTTTAGATTTGAAGAAGTTACAAAGTATTTGTAAGGATTTATTAGTAAGTCATGAGTATATCAAAAAACTATTTATCGAGTGTATTCTTGAATAAGCATTATGAATAAATAAGGATTGTAAAAGATACAAATATTTATATATTTGAATATTGGCCTTTACTTTTAGAAGATGAAGCATATTATTACATAATATTTAAAAGAACTATTAAATAGACATTCCTAAGCTATGCACCTCAACAAAAAAATAACTAGTTTTGATTTTCAAAGAATATTTTTTAATCCTTTTTATTGTATTTTTTACTATTATTTTAGTAAAAAATATAATATTTTATGTTACTATTTTGAAAAATCAATTTGACAAGGATTTTCAAGGACAAAAGAATTGAAAGAAAAGATTATTTGGTGCTATGAAATATAGATAGATAAAGATATTTAAAATTTTATATTAAAATAATAAATATAATAAGAATCATGATTTTAAAATTATGATTTAAAATCAAAACTAGTTGCTTTTTGTAAAGGTGTGCTTGCAAGAGTGTATGGCAGAAGAAAGTGTTGATGTAATAAAAAGAAGATGTCTACCTAGTGAAATCTAAACTTCCTTCGATATACCTCATGATTTCCTTAAGAATATACCAAAATTTTAAAAGTAGAATTTTCCAGAGATTTATTAACTTGGCCGTTTCAATATATTAAATTAATTCTTTTTATTGTCATAGGATGTATAAAAAATCCAAAAAAAACTTAGAATGATATGTCTTTTATGTCTTTTATGTCTTTAATGTCTTTAAGCTCATTATGAATTATTTTGTTTGTTAAGAGATTTTATAAGAAATTTATATTAGATGATTCTATTTAATTAATTACTTGATTTTATAAAACTTAAATATATTGATAATTTGATTGATTTTAATGAAATATTTCTAAAAATTTATAATAAAAAAAGTAGGATTTTTAATAGTTATGTATACATTTTATTTAGAATTTTCAAACAATGTATATTTATTTTTATTTTTTAAATTTTTATTTGATGAATTATGTTTATAATATGCTATAAATTTGAATTTTTCTTCTTTATCAAAGATCACATTTCAAATAATAGTTTAAAAAAAAATCTCTATTATATAACATGTTTATTGTTTAGCACCTAATTTTTTATTCATAACTACCAAGTATTTCTTTACAACTTTTTGCATCCAACTTCTCACAAATTTTATCTAGAATATGGATGTAATATGGTATAACGAATATATGTCTATTATAATTATTGCCTAAGCAATATGAATAAATAGAATTAAGTAAAAGTAAGTTAATTACATAATACCTTCTAGAGAAGCTTTCTAGAATCTTCTTAGATGCTATTTTGACTTTACATATGTTTGCAGTTGATTGGTAGATTAGAAATTTGATCAAGAAGCTATCTATGTGCCATATATATTGATGGCTTGTAGGACAAGTTAACTATGCGGCGCCCATACAAAAAACTTGCCTTATAAGTCAAGATATGTGTCATGCAAAGTCAATATGTTTTTAGAGGTCCTATAGAATGTCACCACATAGATCCTAGGTAGATAGTATATATAGAGACAAGAGTGAAGCCTTCTTCACTCTTGTCAACTCTTTTCTTATTTCTAGTCTAGTTTCAAGAGTCTCTAGTTTTATTGTCTTTTGGCAATAGCCATTCTAGTTTTCTTTTTAACATATATACTTCTTTGTTTTTATTTTTGTTACTTTTATTTTGACATAGATTTCTCAAGTTTATACACCTCTTTTCAATTCATGTCCTTCACAGATTGACAAGAATGCACTCATAATATTAGAGCTTTGTCTACTCTTAATTAAGAATGGATTATTCTTTTTTTTTGATAAAACATAAGTATATTAGAAGTTGCAGATTATCCTTTTCTAAACTAATATTATTTTTAGTATTTTTTTTTTATTTTCAAGTCCTCTCTTCTGCTTCTTTTGAGTAATATCAGATTTTTTTTTTTTTCTAAATATTATCATATTATATTATGGAAGAATTATAACATATCAAGCACCAAAACAAATTTTTTTTGACAAAATCATCATGTATAATCTTACGCTCAAAAACTGAAAACTCTTGCAGGTTGTGAAATCCTTTTCATAGGAGATATAGAATGAAATATAAAAATATTTTCGTAAATTGAAATGTGTGCTCGAATAAACAGTTTTTTTCACATAATATTTAGAGGGAAATCAAACAATAGTTTGGTCAGATACTTTAACAAACAAAACAAAGACCTTTTTTAAGAAGAATAGGAAGGATAATATAATTCATGTAAAGTGTTCCATAGTTACTGTAGTCTACAATAGGAAACAAGAATTGGGTTGAATCCCTCTTAGCTTCTAACTAAATTAAAGTCAGAAGTAAAAGTCGATTAGTAATGCTATCTTCCTCCAGTTGAGTTTGTTGACAAGTTGATCTCATGCATGTGGTGAATGAAGCCAAAACTGGCTTTTCCGTAAGGGGGAAAAGAGAACTGCTTGAAAAAATTGGAGAAAATTAACAAAGATGTACCACATTGGCAAGTCCATTTGCCACACTGCAAGGTGGTTAACCTCACTTCACTTCATAGTTATTTAGTTCATGCTGATATTGCAAGGGATCCAATATTTGTGCCAGTTAACTACATCGGATAACCCAACAGTTTCAGAAGAGACGAAAGACGAAGTCACATAATTGAGGGGATAGAAGGACACCCACTGTGAAGACGTGTGCACAGGTCGGCTATTGTAGAAGGCAGGTCTCATGATACTCAATTGACAGGCAATTGCCACTGAACACATCGTCAACTCGACTGAACCTCCAGAGATACACTAGGCGCCAAACAGATATTTGTTGATGTTACCTTCTAATAAAAGACTTCGAATATCGAAGCTGTGTTGCTTGGCAGTGTTGAGAACACTATGAAATCACGCGACCAGGAGATGGGTTTACACATGAGAGACTTCTGAAGAAACCCTTTTGTCCCATGCCTTTTTGGATTTCCGTCAAACGCACTATAATCTCACTGAAACTTGGTCTTGCAGATGGTACTTTCTTCCAGCAATCCTCGATCAACCTGTCAGAGAACCACAGAAGCCGTTTAGAGTGCATGACAGCCAGGCCTGTAAAAAGGCAACTAAAGATGACATATCGAGTTATTCACTAGACACATTCTCTCATGGATAAGATTCTACCCAAAAAAAATTACGTTTAAGTAAAAGACTGGCAATTGACACATACTCTCTAAGTCCAGACGGATAACGCCGAGCGTAGTGCCTGAAGGGTGGTCGTTGATCTTCGTTGGCATACAATTTCGCAGCCGCTTCAGGCGGTTGAAAATGGAATGGTGTAGAGCCTTCCATCATCTGGCATCATCAAGAGAGAAGTTTCCGGTGAGAGCATTTCGCAGGGATATCTTCTTTGTTCATAAGAGCAAAATAAAAGTTATAAGAACAGAAGCTATGAAAGACAAATCTTGATTGCATAATATTAGGAACAAATGATTATTACAAGAAAAGAAGGCAGAGGATCAAGAATGAGAAACACACCTCTTGCACTATGAGAGCAAAGGAAAACACATCTACGCTTTTATCATAATCGGGATCATTTCGATAAAGCTCGGGGGCCATATACCGACCTTCATAAATCACAACAGGTATTTTTATATTATGGTTGAAGCCCATTAAAAACATACGAGATAAAGTGAGGCCAACAGATAGAACCTGAAACATATCCCATTACCAACATGACAAATAAAGCACACCAGAAACAGAGCTGCTAATTACACGGATTCTACTCGCTTTAGGTTCAACAAATCGAGTGATGGATAGTTTACATGATGAGCCTTTGTGGAGCTTCGTGGTTAGGGAATCAGTAGACCGGTTACTGCCAACATTTTCTGATCCATTTTCAGATGCAGAATCGTACTTCGGAAGGCTAAGCCTAAAATTGGCTACTTTCAAATGCTTGCCGTCCCTCAACAAGTTGCTGAAGCTCTCTACGGCATTGCACCACTTGTCAGAAAGAAGTCCATATTTCGAAATTCCATCCAGAATGTTATACCTATTGCAACTTTCAAACAAATGGTTCCTAATCGTTTCAAAAGCACGTCACCAGACTTCTCTACACTTATGCTACTTCATGCACATTGTTCCACCAGTCAACATTCAGATACACAAATAAAGATACAAACACCGGACCTACACTGAGAAACATAAAGCTAACCTGGGCTTAAGAGCACGGTGGATTATCGGATCAGGTTTGTGTTCATGCAAGTAATTCATCCCCCTGTTTTGACAAAAAAGAACAAAACCAAGTAGAAGTAAGACGATTTCAGGAAATGAGAATTTTCCAAAATGCATGAAATTCAATTCTAAATGTAAGCGTCTGAAAATAAAAATAAAAATGGATTGTATGCACAGAAAATTAGACGAAGTACCTGGCAATATCAAGCGCATACGCCACTGCCCTTTCCGGATCCAGACGTTTCTTTTCTTTAAGATATTTAGCCAAATCCATCTGTCAAAATAAATGACCGTTTTAAGCGCATTGTGCTAATTTCATAAGAATGTCATCTATGCATATGTCCCTTGCTCAAAAGAATTGTTAAGGATTGCACACAAATAAAACCATTCAAAATTAAAAGCATCTTAAAAGTAAAGTTTCTGAAGCACGTTGTCATCTCCCTTTTCAAGAACATTAAGAAAATAATGCAGGTGGTACCTGGGGCATGAACTCAGTGACTATCATCATGGGGCTGCTTTGAGTAACTGCTCCGAGAAACTGCACCACGTTGGGATGTCTCATCTTTTGCAAGAGGTCAAGTTCATCTCTGAAGCTATTACTGCAGAACCGAATATCATCGATCAGTACGATGGTCCACTGCATGAGATATGCCTTCGTGAGATTCTCGTCACTACTGACTCTGAAATCATCCTAGTACTGCAAATCTCTGCTTTTGTCTTCCATAATTCTAGAACCTGATGTAAATATACTTTAATTAGACGACGACAATTCTACCTATGCCTTCAGAGCATGGAACTGAAGCACGAATTTGTTTGGTTATGCAAATACCGAGGTGGCCAAAGAAAATGAATGCATATACATGAGATGAAAGGGAAGTTCTTACAATGCTTCTTCCGTAAAATCTACACTTGAAAGAACCTTCACAGCGACTCTTGTTCCATGCCACGTTCTGACTCTATACTTGCTACCCTGAACCAAGAGTCACCAATACATCAAACACCCAATCGTCAGGATTCTACCATGATCTTTGTGAAATTTGGTGTAAACAGTTAAATAAACAAGAATTTTAATGGTCGCGAATACCTGCATCCAAAAGGGCATTGATATCTCTATATTTCAAAACACTAACACAATTGGCGGCAATTGAATAGATATCTTCGATGTAACTCACAAATAAGCATTCTACTGGAAACTTTCAAACTCAAACCTCTTAATTTAAACAGAGATCAACTTGACGTTAAATTAGAGGAATAATCTTACATTGGGCATCTTATACTTCGTGTCTTTGCCAGAGAGCTGTTCAGGGAGAATCTCATACTCAGGAATTTCTTTTGTAGTAGCCACTCGCATGGATGAGATCTAAATCAAGCAATGGCAGTATTAGCGAAAGGCCTACCAAAAGGATAACGATTCATGCCCACAAAATGTTTCTGAACTGTACTGAGTACTCTTAATGTCCTCCATTCAAAAATTAAAGCCTCAAGAAATGCTACACTGGTATCGCATTGGGAAGGAGAGTTTTACTTTTAATCTAGCGCCATGCTGTTCTAACAGTCTGCAGACATCATCGTTGTTGTAATGCCTAGCATCCGCCAATGGCTGTAGCAGAAAAACATCCAGAAATCGAATGGGTCAAAGGCAACTCTAACTAAATGCAAATTCAAGCCAAATGACTATCAGGATGCTCATCACAATCCAGCATTGACGTATCAAAAGTAAAATAGAGGAAACGATAATTAAATAACATTATATTGCGCTCCACCAACAATTACAAACCACTGATTCAAACACAACTAAAACTAAAATCTTTAAGAGGTTAGCAAGGACAAGGAACTTACTGTGCTGCCCCAACGGTCACCACGATTAACGTCAGCACCCTTGTCTATAAGAAACTGGACCACATTCAAATGGCCCTCGCAGGCCGCCAAGTGTAATGCTGTGCGACCATCAAAGTCAGCGGCATCTACGGTCAAGCCTTCTTCGAGTAGTTGATTTAGTCCTTCAATGTCTCCTTTGCAAGCACAGTAGAGCATCCCTGCCACTTGTTCAAGATCCTTGGCTGAATTCAGTATTGGAGATGTACCACTCACATGATGATCCTCTTTGCCTTCGGGTTGCAGTGATGATGATCTTCCAAACACAATTCTCCCATTTTTCATAATCGACAAACCGTCCTCCATTTTAAATTCTGATTCGACGCCTTTCTATGAAAAGAATAATAATTGAGACTCGATACGCTAAGAACTTTTTAAATTGCTTTTGATGGCCGTCTGGTCAGCTGCATCATTCGTTCATTTCTCCGATTCCGAGATTGAGTCTAAATACACCTGCTCTCTGTGTCACAGAAAAGAATCACAACAATGGTTTCAGAAAATTTAAAATAGCATACCTCAATGACTCAAAAAAATACGACGAATCATTAAACACAGAACATAGATCTTGTGGGTAAGAGGAAGCCTTCTTGCGCGGGCAGTGGCTAGGAATTCAAATGCAAGTGAAGATGGTCTGTAAGGTTTTTGTACAGTAAACTCCTCAAAAGTTAGGCTGACCACCATGTTTACAACGATAATAGAAGAGCATACTTTCTCCTGCTAAAGATACCATTGTAGAGATCCTTACCTCTCAGAGCGTATTCAAAAAATAAAAAGAACCAAGAAGCTTACGGAATTGATCGCAATCACAGCTAAGTCACGTACGTTTTTAGACTTATTCCCACACAAACTAAACTCCTCTGAGAGTTAAGAGAGATGGTCAGCAAGATCCATGTAATCAAGAATATGAACCCAAAAACCATAAAAAAGAGATTCTAATTTCACTGCATTGAAGTACAAACCTTCCATCCCATTCATACGCTGTCAAGGGCTACAATGCAAAATAGAAAGCACTTGAATCTGCATCTCACAATCGGCTACAAAACTCTCTCGGATCACGAGGGATCATTCAAAGCCTATACGGTGTGGTAGTAAAAACATTGACAACGAGTCGGCGAAGTACCGCCACAACCACACCTTGCAACACCCAGACCGAACCAAATCCCCAGATCTTAAACCTAATTCACGCAGCTTCACCCGACAGCACTCACACACGAACTCCCGGGGAGAAAAAGAAAAAAAAAAAAAAAAAAAAAAAAAAAAAAACACTCGATTCCTCATACCCGAATGCTACTCTCAAAAAGCCTTCAACGCGCCACACCTCGGACCCTCTAAATCGCATCTTTTCAGCATCTAAGAAACTCGACAGCAAGTGCTCCAGATCCTACTACTCGAGACACACTCAAAATCCTTCACACAGACAGATTTCCAACCATCGCAACCCAACTGCACAAGTAAGTGCAACTCGGCACTCACCGATTTCTCAAGACGTACCAAGATCCAAACTTGGAATACAACCCACCCCCAGAAACCACCACAAGATGAGAATCACAGAGAAGGAAAATGCGCCTACCCTTTCCGAAAACCTCACGGAGATCTCAAACAGGACTCCACAGAGCCAGAAAACAAAGCAAACTGACGCCTTGAGGCATGCAAGCGAGTTGCAATGCAGTCCTGGCAGGGTCAGACATCATCAACGCTGGCTCCAAAGCGAGAGACGGAACACGACGTGGACAGCCATATCCGGGAAGACGTAGTACAAAGGGCAGTCAGTAGAAACGTAGCCTCCTGCATACTCAGCCATAATCTGCGCGGTCCATCCAGCCAGCCAGCCTATGATAGTGCCCAGCCAACGAGTTTCGCCTGTGGTGGCCCGCTCGCTGGCTGCCCGATTCCCGGCATCTACCCGAGACGGCCAACTCTCCCACATCCTACATCCCCTCCCACCACTGCTGCAGTAAAACTCGCTGCCACTACTGCCACTACTGCCACTACAACTGTTACTGGCTACGACGACAGCTACAGCAGAGCTACAAACTGCAGCCCCTAAGTTAAAACTAGTGATGGAATCCCGTGTGCTTCGAAAAGCTACTCCAGGGAAGATCACCGACACGCTTTCCTCGGAGAATGATGATGCGCAATCTGACTATGTTATCCTTGACTGAGTGAGTGTGAGAGATTGGATCCTAGTGTGCCCAATAATGTTGATGATGTTCAGGTTGATGTTATTGTTAATATGGCTACTAGTACCGTCATGTCATGGCTCCTCCTCTTCCTCGTCGTCGTCTTGCACAACAGGCATCATAACAGTGAAGCCAGCATTTCATTCCATGTATCTCTACCTTCGATCCTATATTATCTTTGAGGGAGGGAGGGAGGGAGGGAGGGGAGACTTATTCCACACTACATGCATGCATGCATGCTTGCTTGCTTGCTGCACCCGTGCTACCCATTCCTTCCCTTCTTCCTTTCTCCACACTTTTGCTTTCTTTCTTACCGTGTCTGTGTGTCCAGTCCAGTCTTCGCCGACTCTGACACACCCGAAGAGTTGTATGGGGGAATTGGGGCTCATGTGTGTGTGGGGTTGGATTGGATCATGGCCCTGCTCCTGCTTCTGCACCCAGCAAAGGGAGAGACACTTGCTTGGCTTTGTACTCATGGATGGATAGATGAATGAATGGTGTTCCTTATTCATTCATCCCGTGTGGATGGATGGATACCAGGGCTCTGTTTGGATGTGATGGCACTGTTCTCTTCTCTTCTCTTCTCGCACTCTCGCTCTCTCGCCCCTGTTTATTTGCCTTGCGCCTTGCCTTGCTTTGCTTGTTTACCTTATTTTGCTCACAAGTTTGTCGTTGTTGTTGATTCATATTGATATGTGTGAGTATGTGTGTGGTACATTCGATGTGTGAAAATTCCATAAAATAAAATAATTTAAATTATATTGTGTATGTATATATATATATATATATATATATATAAGAAACCTGTTTTACTTCGTAGAAAAGACATGAAAAAACATTGTTTGTGTAACACTCGAGATTAGAAGACTAGAAAAAAAACACGTTCCCTACAAAGTATTGGTGAAAAAGTTGTAGGTCACTAAAGGTTTGCAAACAACATCATAGGGTACTTTTGAAATATAATTTAATTTGTTATCTCTTCTCATATATTTTATTGATGTACATTATAAACACACATTTTAAATCTTACCATAATCCTGAATATTTCTTCTTATGCCATTATAATCTTAATCCTCACATACATACTACTAAATATTTTGGTTAATATTTTAGCTAATCTTGTATCTTTAATTGTTGCAATTCTTACTTATTCTTTGTTCACAAACAATCTAATTTAGATAAATATAGATTTCTATCAAGCAAGAGTTCGGGTTACTATTATAATTTTTAAGACTTTTACTTTAGTAAAGTTAGAAATATTTTATTCTTGATATATATTGTTGGAAGTTATGTTACACATTATGCAAATATTTTATGAACGTATTTGAAAGTTAAATTGCAATTATGTTTTGTTGCATATTACCTTGTGTATACATTACTCCATTTCTAATATATTTCAAATTAAAATCATGTTGTACATTATATATGTTTAAAACAAAAAGAATATTTTGGACTCTTTTCAAATTTGATGTATTCTTATTAATAATAGCTTTTTCCTCTACAAAGAATATATGTATTTATTGTAGGTTTTTAATTACATATAGTGCCAACCAATGTGAAATACAAAACCAATGCATATCAATGTATTTTCTTTTTCCACAAAACAACTTGAATTTTAATGTCCTTTTTATATACTTTGTTATTATTATCACCAATTCCGAATATATAATCTAATCTTAAATGTATAATAATTTGTTATACTTTTCAAAGTTAAAAGAACCAATCACAATTTTTAAAATGTTATTATTGGTTAATGTTTGTTAATGTTTGTTAATGTATGTATAATATCCTGTATTTTACTTTTTTAGTCTTAAATGTCCCACAAATTCCACTCCTATTTAACATCACACCCAAAGCATTGATTACTTATGTGCATTAAAATTTCCTATTAACTTTTCTCCAGTTTTTATTTTTGAAGCACTGAATATAACACATTTTATTTCAACTCCAACACAGTATAATATGCCTACTCTGCAACTACATTTTGTTACAGATTATAAAAGTTTCAAACTTTGTCTTGCATGTTGTGTTTTCTAAAACAAACACTTAACTGCCTATACATAAATTTATTTCCAACTCAACCACCTTAATTTTGGTCTTTTATTGTTCCTTGAGAAAATTCTTCAGTTTCCATTTTAAGCTTTTATTTTAACTTGTATTATATATATATATATATATATATATATATATCTTAACAAGGTAGAAATTTATCAAATTTCATGCATGAATGTGGTTTATATTAATCTGCACCAGATTCACATGCACAATCTTTCATATTATGATGGTGAACATTTTTTCTTTGTAAAACTTTGCACGTAAATGTCAATCACAAAACAAGAAGATTGCACACTTTGGCTATTGATACTATTATTATTATAATTATAATTATACTATATATGAACAGATATATATATATATATATATATATCTGAAGATTCCACACTTGGTGTTCTAATAATTCAACTTTTGCAAAGGGATCAATGCACGTATTAGCTTCTCGATCTTCTTTTGTAGAAACTGATGAAACTTGTGTTAGTTTACCCACTTAAAAAAAGAGTTAAATTCACTTCAGAAATCCAAAAACAAATCACCCAAAATCACCATGTAAGCTATTGAATATTGTTTTTTTTTTTTTTTTTTTTTTTTTAAATTAAGATTTACATGAGATGAATTCAATTGGGATAAAATTATAAGAGAAAAAAATAGAAATAAAAATAAAAAACAGGAAATAATTATCCATGTGTATATTACCAACAGGATTTGAAAGTGGACAAACTAAATTGAACGAGAAAAGGTCGTCAGTGTAACGACTTACTAGTGAGAACTTATCGTTGAACTTTCATCAATCAACCCATCCATCAATCCATCTACACATTCATCCTTAGAAGATGAACCGAGGGGGTTGGATGGACCGCTGTTGCACGAATGAAGTGTGGTGGGTCCAGGCCTCATCATCCACAAGCCATAATGCATTCATCCATGCAGGGTACAGAGGGGCTCCATGGCCCGCCACGCTGACGAGGGTTGGTGTTCTGGTGTGACATTCGTCTTGTGCTGCTCTTCTGTAGCCTCTTATCACTCTTGCGCCAGCTATGGTGGTGTCCAGCCAGCTACGACAGACAGTGCAGGAGGAGGAGGTCCTTCCTCGCCACAACATTGCCGAGCAGATTTCTCTCCATCTATCTTCCCCACGATCTTAGCGCCGTTCCCCCTCGCGCGTGGTTGTTATTTGACATTTAATTCTGAGTTTTTTTGAAGCGCTTCTTGAGCTGATTTGAAGTTCGTTGGTGGACTTTCCGTGGTTGGATTCATGCTTTTTTATGGACAGGTTGCCAGTCGGAACGACGGGCGACAATGGAATACTGGACGAACGGTGATCACGATTTGTGAGGAGTGATTCCATAGCACAGGTTGCAGACGTGAGTTCTTTCCCCGCAGTTTTTTCGTCGTTGTTAGAGAGATTTTGTGATTTCTAGAGAGTTGTAGGGCCGAGAGGAGCTTATGTACCGCGGCACTCGAGATCGGAGGTGTGGCCCTATGAGGATGGTGAATGCCTTGGCGAGGAGGTGGAGTTTTCACGAGCCTGCGTGAGGAATTTTGGAAGGAGGGAAGGGGTGTGAGTGCGTAAAAGGGACGTTGAGGAAGATGGCACGTCTCTTTTGACGTATGGTGTTTCGAATTCGGCATCAATCGATGTTTCTTTTGTTTAACTTTCGTAATGCTGTGGAATATTTCACCAATCATTGTCCCCCGAAAGTGATGCAAGTTTTAGATGCATTCATAACTCAAGAACTGTGTGTTCGTGTGAATAACATGGACAATGCAATGGACGTTGTATCTGTGGACGTTTTGACACGAGGACGTCTAAGTTATGGTCTAAACTGATACAGTTCAAGGCAAAGTACGTGTGATCCTGCCGAAACTGCAGTAATTCGGAGAGTGGAGCTACTGCAGTTTGCTGCGTTTAGGGTAGTCGCATTCTAGATCTATCCTTGTACGTATTGCAGCTCATGGTCAGGCCAGAACCTACTCTGGGCAGCTAGGACAATAGGGCACAGTGTCATAGTTTATCTCAGCAATGGGCTCGGTGAAGCCTTCTGTTCGGCATCGGGGCTCCGGAGCCCTATCGAATGCGCTTCATTCGGATGGGATAATTGGCGGTGCCAACGGATCCCCTGTTAGTAATGGTTCCATCAATCACTTGCGCAATGAATTGTCTGAGTTCGAGAAGGAGGACTTCGATGCCCAGGCTTATGTGCGATTGAAGTGTCAATCTATGAGTGAGAAGGTACGTCCTCGATCCTTCAGCCTTGCTTCCATCTTCTAAATTTTGGTGAGAGAACTGCAGCAACAGAAGTTTCTTTTTCTTTTTTCTTTCTGTTTTCCCCTTGCTTTCTTTGATTGTAATGTTTCTGATTGACAGGGTATACGCAAATTGTGTGATGATCTGCTTGGTTTGAAGAAATCGTCTGCGGAAGAAATGCGAAAGAGCGTGTACGCTAATTATGCCGCTTTTATAAGGTGCATTATCTCCCCAATTTCTCTGTTTCTTTGAGCTTTCAACTGGCAGAGCGAGAGGGTAGACACCAACTGTAGATTTGTCGCATTAGATTGTAAGAGCCTGGTATTCTTTATTGTAGGATCGCACTTTTTAAGCCTTATTTTCCGAACAAACTAAAATTTTACACATATTTACAATTCTAGTGTCCTTTTGACGTTCAAGCGTCTCATCGAAATGGTTCAAGCTTTTGGTTAGAGCCACGTTTTGCAGTAAGGCGTGCAATATTCTGATTGCGGGCTGCCTTGGTCACGAAATCATGGGCGCTAGAAACTGCTGTGGATCATATCCGTTTCAGCTCTAACCATGGCAATGTGGATACAGAGGGGAATGTGTTCGACTTTTGAGGATAGAGTTAGATCCGTCTTAGAGCTCTAAGGCGATTTTCATGCATAACTTAACTGTCACGCTACTATTGTACGTGAGTGTTTGCACTCTTCAAGCGTTACCACGCGAGGGATTGCGATTTGCGTCTGACTCATGCTAACGATTTAGAGTGCTCCCTGTGGATGTTCGTATCTTCAGCATTTGGAATACGTGCAGCTGCTTACTTCTCCGTTTTGGTTGCACTGGGCCTGTAGAAGTGACGGGAATGACTGTAGTAGTGTTTTTGTGACGCATTGTCTTAGTCACTCCAGTCTTAGATCAGGTTCTTTGGTCTTTCACCTGTGGTCTTTCTTTGGTCTTTCAATCTGTCTCTGGTGTTTGACAGGACTTCTCGTGAGATATCCGATCTGGAGGGCGAGCTAGTTGCCATGCGGAACCTTCTAAATTCTCAGGCCTTACTTGTTCGTAGCTTGGCAGAGACTGGTACTTCTAAAACTGCTGCTGGTACAGCAGGGGCTGACAAGGAAGAAAAGGTCTTTCCTCTACACGAGAAGGAATTCTCAGTTTTAGAAAGACGTGCTCAGGCTCTTCCAGATATTCTGGATGTTCTACTAGCTGAGAAGAAGGTGGATCAAGCTTTGCAGGTCTTAGAAGAAGGTGATAGACTAGTTGCAGAAGGTTTTCAGTCAACTGGCTCCGAGGGTGGAATGAGTCCCGTTGCAGCTTCAGAGTTGCAGGTGGCGTTGTTTGAGAGAAGAGCAAGGTTAGCTGAGCAGCTTGCGGAAGCTATCCAACAACCCTTTTTTAGAGGTTTAGAGCTGCGATCTGCCATAGCTGCTTTAGATAAATTGGGTGATGGAACACGAGCACACACTCTGTTGTTGCAATCTCATCACGAGAGACTCCAGCACAATATGAGAGGACTTCGTCCCAGTGGAACATCGTATGGTGGGGCTCATACCGTTGCCCTTTCCCAGCTAGTTTTCTCCGCAATCGCCCAGGTAATCCTTCCTTGTCAGATCGGACGTTATAGAGTGCAGTAGCTCTTTTACACACAAGATTGACGAAGTTTGATTCACGTAGACGCGCAATGTTTACAAAGTAGGGATTGCGCGATCGAGGATGGTAGAAGTGAGTTTGCAAATCAGATATTGAAGACTGCTACTCATGAAGTCTGTCTGGTACGTTAATTCATAATTTGATTGGTCCCGTGGCAAAGATCATGGGTGTTTGAAGAATTGCTGAAGTTGTTTCTGGTGCTTTGCTTTCTGCAGGCTTCAAGTGATTCAGTCGCAGTATTTGGAGAAGAACCTGGTTATGCTTCTGAGCTAGTATTGTGGGCCCGTTCGGAAACTGAGCTCTTTTCCTCCTTAGTGAAACGACACGTCTTGTCCTCCTCGGCTGCTGCTGGAGGTCTACGAGCTGCTGCCGAATGTGTGCAAATTGCTCTTGGACACTGTCAGTTGCTGGAAGATCAAGGGTTAGCTCTTTGTCCTGTCCTTTCCAAGCTCGTAAGACCAAGTATGGAGCAAGCTTTGGAAGCAAACTTGACCAGAATTGAAGAGAGCGTATCTGCATTGGCAGCAGCTGATGATTGGGTTCTTAGTCATCCTGGCGCAATGTTACGCGGTTCATATGGAACGAGGTCCTCTTATGGTACTGGGCATGGTTTGCACACAAAGTTGTCCAGTAGTGCACACCGGTTCAATTTCATGGTGCAGGTTCGTCTTTACCAAATCATATGATTGGTTTCCATGTTATAATTTTGGCTTTCCTGGTCGCCACAAATACATCATTCGAAAAATGGTTGCAACCCATCTACTCGATGATATTCGAATTTGTCAGGAGGATGCCGTTGCTCTCCAAGATTGGACGATCGCCCTTTTATTTGACCGTTGCATTCTATTCACTTAATAAGTCTCTTCAGACCTTTTGAAGAAATAAAAATAACTTGGTGCAGGATTTTTTGGAAGACGTTGCTCCTTTAATAAGCATGCAGCTGGGAGGTCCTACACTAGACGGTCTCTCCATGCTTTTTGACCAATATGTTGACATGTTGATTAAGGCCGTGCCTAGTCTTGGCGAGGACGAGGAAGGTGGGGTAGAGTCTGGAACTAATCGGAAGGTAGGAATGTTGGAAGTCAACCATGGAATATCGCCCTTGTGATCTAATCACTTGAAATAGCTTCATATCAATTCATATGTCTCACTTCACTGTACATTAGCTTCTTCTGCTATAATATTACCATGTACACCAAAACCATAAGATTGGACAGTGACCTGGGTGCGTGTGATTGAGTTAGGGATCTTCCAAGAGGATAGCCCAGGAAGAACGTCACATCATAGCCATCAGTTGCTCATGATTTGATCCGAGTTTATTTTGGGTATAAAACTACCAGTCGAATCTTGTTTGAACATTTTTCATCGGATGATCTGCCGCAGGTTCGACCTGCAACGACTGAGAGTCAACAACTAGCACTTCTTGGAAATGTATCTGCGCTTGCTGATGAACTTCTACCTCGATGTGCTTCGAAATTGGTTCCTGGTGGTATGCAGACTGTGATGAGCAGAGATGACTTGCGTTCAGCAACGCGCCGAGGGCGCGATCGAGATCAAGGTCAATATAATTGTACTCTAACATGGTGTTTCTTTGAATGCTAATTGAAACGGTGCGAGTGATGGCGCTTGCCTTGATGACTAATCCTGGACAAATTGTACTGCAGAAAGAAATCAATTTGGAAATGTTGCCAATCGTTTACCGGAGCTTAAGGATTGGCGGCGAATGTTGCAGCGAGGAGTTGATAGGCTTAGAGATCATCTTTGTAGACAGCACGTTCTTGAATTAATATACTTTTCTGAGGAATCTGTGTCCCAGCTCAGCTCAGAGACTTATTTAAAACTTGACAATGATGGCGGAGATCCGAATTGGCTCCAAGAACCGATGCCATCTCCTATTTTTCAGGCAAGTTAGGAGAACATGCCCTCTATTTGGCCCATGTTCGCTCATTTCTTTATATTTCTTGGTGATGACCTGCGAGTTTTTCTGTTTCATTTTGTGTGGTTAGTTTAGAAGTTTGCGGCACAGAAATTTTTTTACCTGACTGCTGTTCTGCTTGATAGCATGAATCCAGCTGACTTATTTTTCAGCATGCTCTTGGGTCTTGACTGTTCTATGTGGGTGCCGGTTAAGTTTATGATAATCTATCTTCTAAAGCTGATAATTGACGTGTGTGTGCTGGCAGACTTTGTTTTACAAGCTGACCTCAATCCAACAGGCAGGTTCAGAGCTACTTGCAGGCAGGGAAAGAGTGGTGGTTGTTTTGCTCATGCGACTAACTGAAACCTTAGTGATTTGGCTTTCGGAAGATCAAGACTTTTGGGATGCCATTGAAGATGGAGAAAACAATCTTGGTCCTATTGGTTTACAACAAGTAATATTCTAGATCCTCCATAATCTTTCTTAGTATCTTTTCCATGTTTTGGATCAATTAAACTACATTTCTTGTCCATGTGCCTTCTCCTAACTTATGTTGAACTTCGCTTCACAATTAATGGCAGATGAGGAGGTGATTTTTGTTCAATCTATGTCTTGACCTGTTTTGGTGTAACTAGAGCTTGCATCCAGCAGTTACCGCAGGGACAGAAAATTGGGAGGTAGTGATTTAGGGTTACAGTTTGTGACACTGACCTATCAATGATTTCAGCTTGTAATACTTGAAGAGATAAATTTTAATTTACTTTCTCCCGTGTGTGTAGTTTGTTTTGGATATGCAGTTCGTCATCCAGGTTGCTATAAACGGTCGGTTTTCGTCGAGACACATGCGCCAAGTAGTGAACGATGTCACAGCACGAGCTGTTACTGCTTTTGCAGCGGCAGGAGGTGACCCACACAGGTTAGTTTGATAGTATAGTTAGTTTTCTCCTTTTCAGCTGATTCTATTTGTGTACTGTTTGGACTGGAATTACTTGTACTTTGAGTCTTTCACAACGCTGTAGAGTTTATGGGCAAGGTCGATTTTAGACATATGTCAGCTGGCCGATGAGGATGTGTATGCTTGCTTGTCCTGAATCCTGTTGCTGACGCGTAGGCTTTTTATGTTGTAGTGTGTTGCAAGAAGACGAATGGTTTTTAAATGCAGCTCAGGAAGCAGTGCGTAGGCTTCTGGAAGATTGGAATCGACAAGCTGGCAGCCCAACAGCATCAATTTCTGCACAGTCAGTTTCGTCATTCCGTTCACATGGCAGTGAAGAAGTTGCTTGAGTCAGCTCGATTGAATATTGGAATCTTGGAGACTTCTACGGTGCTGACCTTGATAGGATGGAGTCCACGCAAAGCGAGTCTTGTTATGCTGAAATGCGAAACCCAAGTTACGGGGCATATTGGATGTCCAGGTGTTGATTTTGAAAGATCGTTGGTATGCATCACCAGTATATATGGAGATGTTGACCATACTAGTTAACCAAGGGGCTAACTGTCATTAAAGATGACGAGTTGTGTGGAAATGAGTCAGATTTGGTCAGCTTGTGCTCGTTGACGTCTACGCTGCTTGGAAGAAACATTGCTTCGAGTCATTCCAGGTTTTTGGTTTATTCTGATAGTCGCTACTTGGATAATTCGATAGCAGTAGAAGTGTGTGAAGCCCTTGGCGTCCAGCATTCAGTTGTGTGCACAGGTTTGTTCTGGTGTACATCGGGTGTCTTCAAGTACGGGTGGGCACTTGGGCATTTTGTACAGCGCCCTGCTGGTACATCACTCAATCACTTTCCATTACTGCTGAAGTGGGTCAGTTTGTTTATTATATTTCTATGATCATAAGTGATTAGAGAGACCCAAGAATTAGGTCCTGAGCGTGATTCTACAACCTCTTTGAGTTGAGATTCCCTGCTTTGTTGACTTCGTTTGTTGTATTTCATGTTACAGATAGTGGACACATAAACAGCGACTTTTGGAGTGTTTATCTGCGGCAGTTCTCAGGATGTGGCATTGGTTTTCATGAACCTGGGTTGCCCTCCAGTGGAGGCGCCTGTCATTGACGCAACACTTCAATGATACCCTCATTTGGGTTGTTTGTTCCGGTGTATTTTGTCAGATCGTTTACTTTTTGTTGCATCATTTATCTTCTCCAACCTCAAATTGAGTGTGGAGTTTTCATTATTTGGAATAAAAAATGGAGTGTTTTGAGTGTCTCATTTTAAGCCCAGGAAAGTTTTTGCAACAGGAATTCTAGGTTTTAAAGCCAGTGAAAGGACATCTTTCCGGGGTTCCATCTTAAGAGGGTCGGGATTCTACCTAAACCCCTTTGCCCTGGGTGCCGAATTCGTCTATGCCTATGTGTGGCACTCCATGCTCGGTGATAACCATTGATAAGTCAACAATCTGCGCAATGTGGTACCCGGTAAGGTCACTGCCTTGGTTGATATTGTGTGAGGTGTAGAGAATCATAGATATAGAGTATGAATCTCCTCACTAAGTTCACGTAGTTACAAAATTCATGGATAGAATAGAAGTAAAAAAAGCGTAGTTTCATTGGGTTTTTTCATTAAATATAGATGTTACGTGCTATTAAATTATAACGAAAATGGATTGTAATGCAATGCATTCCTAAATTGTAAAAAAACTTAGAATCCTAAGTCTTAGTCTTAATTCCTGAAGCAAAATCCTAAAATCAGGAGTACTTCATTTTTTACCTCATTTCTAAGCTAGTTTCAACCCGAACTCAATGATTTACTTAGTTACAAAAGGTCACACACTTGGAAGAATCTAACCTCCACCTTTTAGTGCTGAACTAATATTCTACTCACCAATGCCAAGGCATAGTTATAATAATTTTGATTGCAATTTTTGATGTCTAATGTGGATGAGGCTGTTGAATACATGCATCGGCCCATGTTTGGGAGTTGTTTGCTTGCCTTTGTAAATTCTTCTTTTCTTTTTTCTACAGGATTTTTAAGTAATATGATTCTTTGACATATTCTACAGAACTAGAATCTAACTTTAATTTAATGTCTGTAGAGTACTTTGCTCCTATGATTTGTGCAGAGTACTAGCTGTTTAATATTTCTTACAAAAAAAAATTATATTAATTTTTGTGGGCATTTGAAATACTAATGCTGGTTTCATGGTCTTTTTTGTTTTGTTTTGTTTGTGTTTGTTTATTTGTGTTAAACATTTACCATGAAAAATATTCTTAAGAACCTCTTCTACTTTAAAATAACGATTTTGTATAATATATCAAACCTTTGATATCTTATTTGCTTTAAAATTAAAGGAATATAAACTTATGTATGTATGTATGTATGTATGTATATATATATATATATATATATTGTTTTTAATTGTTTGATTCTTGTATTTCTTACATTTCTTGTATATTTTTTACATATTTTTTGCATTTCTTCTCTCTCTTGAAAAAGTAACAAATTGGATTTGTCAGTTTTTTTGATTATTAAATTTATTTACTTTTTCATTATAATATTGATTTAGATCTAATATTTTATTTGGTTATGGCAAAGATTCAAAAAATACTAATATTTATATTTTGACCAATTTTTATCAAGGGTTTTAATTAAGAGAGTTCTATAGGTTTATTTTTTACTTTTTATTCTTTAATCTTCTTAATTTCTTTGTTTTAGCTTAAGTCATTTTTTTCTAATCTAGGTACTTACAATCAATTAGATAAGGTTTTCTTCTTCCTCTTCTTAAAAATTAATCACTACAACAAAAAAGATTTAATAACATTGTCATTAAATTCTTACCATAGTGTTGTTGAGATTTGAATTATGTCTAAGTAAACTCTTTGGTTACTAAAATTAAAGCTCAAAAGGATTGTTAAGTTCTTCAACCTCCATTTTTAATTAATTTTTTTTCTTTATAATAGTTAATTTTGACTTTGTTAAGTTTACTTTTATAATTAGCTAATCTCTAAAACTCTAATTTTTCTACTCACTTTTTAAATCAACAAACTTTGTAAGCATAGTAAGATTTCAAGTCAATATGTAATTTATTTATTTATTATTTATATGAAATCTAAAATCTTTTGTTTTATTTTATGGCTTCACAGGCATCTTATTTTTTAATATAGATATCTATTTATTTGTTTCATTATTTTATGTCTCATTTTGTTTATTAATTAATTAATTAATTAATTATTAATCTTTTGTATATAATATCTGTTCTTATCAATGTAACGAGCTCTATATTTTTATATAGTATAGAAAAAATCATGAACATTAACCAATATTTTAGAGAATTTAAAACTAAATTTTAAATCTGAGAAAAATAAGGTATTATAAATAATATTATTAATAAACATATACAAGCATGATGAAATCACTAATAATAAAATAATTTAGTTTTGAATAAGAGTTTATTCTTATTATTATTGTTTTAGAAGATTTTATGTTATTATTTTAATCATAAAAGTATTCAATTAAGTTCCAACATTGACAAGTTAAATGTTAATATTTTAAATTTTGTTTAGGTTATAAATACTTTTTATTAAGAAAAATTCAGAGCGCTTTTGATGTGAATTACTCTTTCTTACAGTTTCTAGTACACACATACATGTATATAAATAGAAATTCCAACAAACATCATTATTGTGACATTTACCAACAAGCTTTAGCAAAGAAATATTATTCTGTGATTAAATTTTAGCATCAATGATCTAATTCCTTACAGAAAAACAGCGATATCTATATATATATATATATTTAAACTAGAGAAATTTCATGACCCGAATAAGACAACCCATAACACTAAACACTGCAAAGAAGCACTAGATTGATGATTACTTATAAAGTTAACTGAGCACAGGCTTTTGTGAGACAAAATCAGGAAAAAGGATTTCCAACCCATGGGCCCACACGTAGTATTAAAAAAACAGAAAACAAAATTTGTGCTTACGTTGCACCCACTAGAGTTGTGTTAATAAGTAGAGTTAGTCCTAGTGGGTCTTGAGGTATTCTTCGGTCCATTTCCATAGCTTGAGCTGTAGCTTTTTGTCCATCGCAAGGCCTCGCAATTCATACTCATTGTAGTCTGCAAAGTATTTTCCAGTGACGCCATGCACTTGGGGATGGGTTGCAACGTAGACTTGGGTGGCAGCAGCCTGGGCAAACAAAACAAAACAAAAAAACAAAAAACATAAAACTAACTCGCCATCAGTTAAACCACAAATCAGCATCAAACCTGGGTTCACGTTTTTTATTTTGTTTTTCCCCAAAAAATTGACAGGTTAAGCACCAGCCGACAATAGAGTGCTCGAGAGTATGAGATGGGTAGCTCATCTGTCCCATGTTCTTCATAACAAACCTCGGCAGTGCACCTGTAAAGAATTTTATGTAAAAGGTCAATCGCCATGCATACTTGTCTGTGTGCAGCTTGATATGATTTAACATCAAGAGCCTAATTTGAGGTGCTGATTGATAGTCTTCTTTTGAATTTCTTTACAAAAAAAAAAAAAAAAAAAAAAAAAAAACTGCTGATTCTGCATGCTTTTATTTATTTATTTATTTGGTTCTGTTTGAATCTGATTTATATAAGTGGCATTTTTTTCCTTCCCGGTCCGTGAACGTCAACAGTGGGTTTAGATGAGGTATGAAAGGCAATCTTACTAATGAGAAAGCCCAGAAAACCATCTAGGTGCGTAAGTTTGGTCTGCACGGCGCCTGGGTGCAGTGAGTTGACTGTGATGTTGGCACCCTCTGCCTGTCATCACCACTTTGTTTAGTGACCCTTAAGCTGCATTAAGCTCAGGCACTGTATCAAGCTTTGTGTCACGAAACCTCACCGTCAGGCGTTCCGCAAGCTCTCTGCCGTGTAAAATGCCCGCTAACTTGGATTGACCGTATCCAGAGAATCCCCATATCCTACGAGGATCACCAGGTCAACTGATCAGTGTTGATCGAAACACACTCAGAACTTTTAAGCAACGAAGCCCAAAGCTCAAAAGCTTTTCTGGGCTGTTCGACGTGAAGGGTCTCGCAATGTCTTACTCATTTTGGTTGATGAGCTTGTCAAATGCGATGCCTCCCTTGGGAGTAAAGTTGTGGAGATGACCAGAAACGATGACAATGCGCCCTTGGATGCCGCTTTCCTTGGCAGTTTCTCTCATCGTGTCGAGCAGCAGCTCTGTCAGCAAGAAGTGACCTGCGTTTAAGCACAACTTTTTGTGAGATATCGCTGATGCCACGCTTTCACAAGCTCGTGTCATGGATTTTCCAGAAAGTCTCTCAGACCAGGTTCTGCGCTAGCTTCGGGATCAGTTGGGTAGCAGTTCAGATTCACAAGGTGGATGCGCTCAAAAGACTTAGAGTGAGCAGTTTTGGTAGAGAACACGAGGGTCACAGCTTTTCCTGCTATTATTGCTGTGGAAGTGAAACACCTTTCTGACATATTTATTCGTTTCAGAAGACGTATCAAACTCTAATACATCCAACATGAATGTGTTGAGACGGACCTAAGAAGTTCGTAGCAAACATTAGCTCCAACCCATCAGGAGTGCTCTGTGGGCCAGTAGTCGAACTGATCCCTCCGTTATTTCTGCACATTGAATCCACAGACACCGAATCCCTTGAGCTTTCTGAAATTCATTCAGCTGAAGATATCATGGTCAGGAGACAACATCTCTAAAACTTGTCTTGTGAAACCCAGATTTGTTTATGCTGATTCGATGGATCTGAGTTCGACCCCGATTGAATGAAGGAATGCAGTACTGGTACAAGAGTCATGAGGTACTCTATAAGCCAATGAAACACCCAGGCACAAGAAACAACATTACCAGAGGGACAACTGATTGAATAGAGATTGATCCTTAAGTGCAGCAGTGAACTGCAGAACCTACACAAGAATGTTGAGGGGAAGTCTGGAGTCTTTGAACTTGGCAGCAAATGCGCGGACCGAGGCCAAGTCGCTCAAATTCATGTGCATCACCAGGATGCGCGCATGAGGGCTCTCCTTCATGAATTCTGCCTTCAAGGTTTCTCCCAACTTCACGTTCCTGACCGCAAAGATCACCCGGGCGCCTCTCTTGGCGAGCACCCGCGCTGTCTCCAATCCAATCCCCGCGGTCGCACCTGCCAGTGATAAGGACAAACGTTGCAGTTCATGTCAATGTCATTTCACCCAATTTCCTCGTCGGCTTACTGCAGACCGCTTCTTCAAAGCAAAAAATGCTATCAAAACTCCTCTGATTCGACCATTGTGAGGCTGTAGGAATTGTGAAGGGCTATCTTTCATGACTAACCAACAGACTTCAGTATAAAAAAGTTTGTAACAAAATTAAAACAACACATCACACACACATGAGTTGACGTGAAACGACGAAATAATTCGTCAGAGGTTAGATAATAGAGACTACCAAGACGAAGGAACGGTAAAATTATCCGAAATTCGAATTAGTATGCTTTGAAGCCATTGTGGGTAAAGAGCCACCAGATATCAATCGCCACTAATGGGTGGCAGCTTCACAGAACTAGACGATAAGCTGATTTGGACGTGTTACTACCGTGAAATGCATTCATCGATCATGTCAAACACGTCGAGATCGAACTCTTTTGCATGTGGACCGATTATCATATCGATAATGCGGAGTTGATACCAGGTTTACCTGTCACGATGGCGGTGTAGTCTTCGAGGTTAAGCCCTTCGGTGACATCCTCGGCGGTGGACATGGATCCGAACCCGCTCTTGCCCTCCGTCCCCATGAAGTAGCGCCACCACGATCCCATCTTCTCAAATGTGCCGCTTTAACTGCAAATCACTGAATGCTTCAGCTTTTTACACAACCAGTCATGAGCTGCTTCGCTTGGTCGACCGACTCTGATATACAAAACGAGAGGATCAAAATGTTTATGTAGGAGATGTCGCTGCTGTGGAGGTGGCGGGGGTAGCGGCAGTGATCTTGTAAGAAAAACCGCAGCTGCTGGAAAGGCCTTGGGACTTGGACCGAACCTTTCAAATTTGCTGCACAGATCCCTTGCGGCTGTGTTTCGCAGCCTGATCCATATCGATACGATGAGCGGACCTAGAGTATTCTAATCAGCAAACCATTTTTTCATCTTCACGGCATCTTGACGATGGGCGTGTCTTTAAAGAGTATTTTGTCAAAGATGACACGTGCTGAGCTGTACGTTATGTGCAAAGGTTACATTAAGAGATGACAAAGAGTGCTAGAGGATGGCTCAAGAATCTGGAGGTAAAGTCATATTTTCTCACTTTTAAATAGTGGTCAGCCCATGGTCATCTCAACAAACAAAATAAAATACTTCCTGCAAATAGGGTGACAACATTTCCACCTTGCTCAGCTCTAGAAAGTCTTCAAAGACCGCTACCTCACTGAAGTGAAGTATCCAGCGCGACTTTGGAGTTCAGGTTTTCTATGTGCTGCTGCTATTGAAAGCCTCCAAGGAAAAAAAATGGAAGGAGACTAGTATAGTACCCTTACAAGTAGACTGCGGTACCAGTAGTTGGGTAGCACTGGTTCCAATTTTCTCTGCCATAATATGTTCTATCCAGTTACTATCCAAGCTTGTAAAAAGAACCTCCTCCTCCTCTTCTACTCTGATTGCTAACGACTTACCTGCACATAAATTCCATGCAATCCTGTAATGGTGGATATGTCAATAGACCTGGAATGAGTCGAGATCGGCAAGGGAAACAGAAGGAAGGACTGGCAAAATTTTACATAGCTGCTGCAGCTTTGAAAGTGCCTTTCTCGAGTGAAAGAAAGCACAAGAAATGTGATTGTACACATTGAAGTGGAGCATTTTTAGTGTGGCTGGAAAAAAATAAAAAATAAAATAAAAAAGGAAAAAAAAACACACACAAGGGGCAAGAGTGGCCTGGCACTTGTCCCAACTTTGTGATTCATACTTTGCTGGATGTTGGATTTTGATGTGAAATGCAATTTTGCCAATAAGAAGTTCATTTGGGTTGTTTTGTTTTGTTTTTGACGTGGCTTTCTTTGTTTTATGGATGATTGATTGGTTGAGTGGATACCATGTTCCTGTTTAGAAAATTGTTGTTGAAGTCAAGCCTATGGAAAGTTACTGTGGTCACTAATTTCAATTGAAGTTGAAGTCATTTCAAGGCACTGTGGTCACTAATTGACTTCAACAATTGTTACTGTGAACAGTTGTTGAAGTCAATTCTCGTGATTTGGAGCTGACAAAGTCAGATGAAGTATAATATGGGCAATAGTGTGACTGTAGTGATCAAAGCCAATCTTGAATCAGAATCTAATATTGTGAAATTTGAATTCTTGGATTGAGTGACTTCCTCTGCTGTGTTGCCTGAGAAAGTGACAAAGAAATAAAAAATTCTCTGAAATATTGAACAGGCTGATGGAAAGACATTCCATAGTTGTTGATCCAGTTGACATGTGTTGAGCTGCATGTTACGTGCAAAGGTTACATTAAATGTACTTGAAAAAATGTTTAATAAGGCTAAATACATTATGTTGTGGCTTTGTCATTATGGCAATATAATTGCAGCTGCTGGACACACACCATGAGGTAGACATCTTTGTTAGGCCTTTCAATAGTTCAACCTTATTAGGATTGCAATCAGCAAATGAAAAAAATTACAGATGATAACCATTGGTTTGAGATAAAATTAAAAAAAAAAAAAATGACAGTGGCTAAGGATGTCTGGATTCAATGGACAAGGATGTTGTGAAGAGGGATCAGGCAGATGCTATTGGGCCTCCTGTTTTTTTCTCTTGCTTCTGGGTTCTATGATGCTCAAGTGTTCTACATCAATGTCATCTCAGCTTCGGTTCATGTTTTCCTAGAATTTCTATTCTTATTGCAAATTCCCACGTTTGTAGATTTCCTAGCTATCATTGTTGTTGCAAGTTGCAACATCTTTGGTGTAATGGACGCTCTTTATATTGTAACTATTATAGCAGCACTAGTTTTGTTTCTGGAGTTGAAACAATTGATGTCTATTGCTTCTTGTATTATTTTCCCTCAAGTGGATCTTAATCAAGTCATTTTAAAGTGGAGTTGATGTCAATATCTTGGATTACTAGTTGCTATTAATTTAGCTTTTTCATTTTATTTTTAATAGTATTCAATGTTTTTGTTCCTCCTCTAGAAGTGGCAGTTCTTATCTTTTTATTCAATTTGTTGTTGGTTGTAGTGTGGCAATGAAATTCTTTGGTCACTAGCTCCTGGACTTTGACAATGTTGAGTTTTGTTCTTCAAGCAGTTGCTTGACTTCATGTTATTGCCTTCCAATTATTTTTTTCTTTTCTTTTTCTTGAGTAGATTCAATAGACAAAGTTGCGGTTTTGGATGTGTTTTTTTTCTTGTAGTTCTACAATGGTGTGTTAGTAGGGATTTTGCAGCATTATTTATTCTTTAGTATTTTTGCATTGCAAGGTGTTCCTTGATGGCTCTAGATTCATTTAGTTATATCATTATCCACATCAGCTAGTAGTTTGGCTTCTAATTCTTTTTAATATTGTATAACATATTGTCTTGTTTGAAAATACACCAAGTACTTAGTTGTAGAAGGTAAATTAAAAATTTCCACAATAAGATTCTAACAGATTTAATAGAATCTTATATAAATCCTAATTAAATCTTAACAATCTTAATCAAGTGATAATTAATTCCAAAATTTTTAAAAATATTTTGTTAAAAAATTATAAAAATATTATAAAAATATTATAAAAAAATTTAAGTTTTAAAAAAAATATATTTTTAAAAAAAAAATACTAAAAAATCTACAATAAAAATATAAATCAAATTCTAAACAAATTTTAATCAAGTCCTAATTTTTGCCTTATTTATGTCTATACAAAGTATATATAAGCTTTTTTTTATAAAAAAATAATACTAACACTTAAAATTCTTATTTCTTTCTTATCTTTTATTTATATTTTTTCATTATATTTTTTAATAAGGCTCTTCTACAATAGAACCTATATTTTTTTCTTTTACCATATATTTGTATTATAATACAACATCTACTTCCTTTGAACTTGTGCATTCTATAGTATGTGCCAAATAATTCATATCTTGTTATTGGATTCACAGAATGCTTTCTATGTCTTTATGTAAATCTTCTTTATTATTTTTATTATCCAAGTCAAGATTATCTACTTGTCTTAGAAAGTTTAAGTCTTCAATAAGATCTTCTGTATTGATTCATGTATATTTTTGTTTGAATAGCTTCACTTGCTTCTCAATAATTGGTATTTTTAACCTTATTCTATTCAGTTTTTATAGTAAAAAGGTTGTATTATTATAAAAAAATTATTATCACATATAATCCAAATCAAAATTTTTATTTTTATTTATGTATTATATTAAATGTCCAAGCTACTATAATAGACCAAATTTCAATCATCTTCTTCAATTGATGTTATTTATTAAATTGAATCTTGCTTTAAAACTTTGTTTTTTTATAATATTATTATTTGAATATCTTTAAATATTTTTTCAAATTATTAAATTCTAATGACTAAATTTTTTTAAATTATTTATTTATTTATTTATTTATTTTAAATCTATCTTTTTTTGGTTATATATATTCAAAGAAGGCATTTTTTTTCTTTAATTGACATAATAGATTTTTGACTTGTCATGATTTCAATAGGAATATAACTTATTATTAAACTATAATTTTTTTGATTAATTATTATAGACATACATAATTTTCTAAATAAGAAGTATTAGATATAAAATAAATGTGGATAAATTTGATAATATCTTATGGAAAACCTTCATAGAAGCTTCATAAATGCAGATTTGACTTTATCTGTGTTTGTAGGTGATTAATAGGTTGAAAAATTAGCCAACAAGTTGGCTACATATCAAACATATTAACAACTTCTTGTACAAGTTGGCCACTTGGTATATATATAGAAAACTTCTTTTATAAGTTTGACATGTATTTTAGACATATGTTAGAGGTCTTATAGAACATTGCCACATAGTTCTTAATTAAATTGTATATATAGAAGTAAGAGTGAAGCCTTTTTTACTCTTATCAATACCTCTCTTGTTCTTTTTCTTGTTTCAAGAGTCTCTAGTCTTCTTGTTTTTGGCAATAGCCATTCTAGTTTTAATACTTTATTACCTTTGAATGAATATGTATTCTTTTTGAATGACACAAGAGTACATTGATGTTTTGATTGTTTGTAATTCATATCTTTGACATTGTATCACAATACAAATGGCAAGAGTTGAGGCCATTTTTTTATCCTCCCATTATAAGATTTAAGTAATATTTTTATAATTGATGAATGATCATGTTTACTTTTTATATTTTTTTATGGATTGTAAGTAGTAATTAATGACAACTTAACTTCACATCTTTTTAAAAAATCACAAGCTTCTTCTACATTTAATTCTTTATAGTTTATAATGAATTTTCTTATACATCTATAATGGCAAATAACATCTTTAAGAAAAAATGTACAAATTCCTTGTCTAGATTTTATTTTTAATAGTCTACCTTCTACCTAATATAATAAATCTTCATGAGCCAAGACCAAATACTTCATTTTTCATAATCTAATTGGCATAATAATAAAATTCTAACCTATTTAAAATAAATGGCAAAAGAATATATTAGATTTAAAAAATCTTAATATTGTATATTAAAATATGTTTAAAAGATTATATAAAATTATGCAAATAAAAGCATATCTTGATACATTTGTTTTTTTTTTATACTAATACCATTCTTTAAG